CTTTTTTTTTTTTGTTTTGTTTTGTTTTGTTTTGTTGAGACAGGGTCTCACTATGTAGTTGAGACTGACCTGGAACTCACTATGTAGCCCAGGCTGGTCTTGAACCCACAATGATCCTCCTGCCTCAGCCTCCCGAGTGCTGGGATTACAGGTGTGCGCCACCACTCCCGGCATCAGGGATCCTTTCTATAGTTGGTTACTAAAACGTTGTTCTACACCTGTCACCTTCAGTGTGTATTTTGAAAACAGAGACCAAAATTCTATGACCTGCAAAGCCCTCGTTAACCTGTGCCTAACTCTAAACTTATCAACTTACTCATACCAACCACTGTCTCTGTTCAGTTCTTAGTACAACATTCTCCCTTTGCTTTCTCAAGGTCTTTGCATTTGCCTCATCCAAAGTGGATCCCTTTTCTATCTTGGCAACTTATCTTCTGTCTTGGATATTATTTATTGAATGAATACATAAAAAGGTTTATACGTACAGCAGGCATTGGATATACCTTGTGTTTGTATTGCTTGAGCTTACATATTCAGTTCACACAGCACTTATGCCTTGTCCATACTACTTATTGATTGTGTGCTTACTTTATGCCAGGACATTATGCAGGGCATTAAGGTATACAAAGATGAAAAGACAGAGTTCTTTTCTTTGAAATGCTCACAGACCAGTGAAGGAGACAGTTTTGCTACCACCTAGCATAATGGAAGGAAACATGAGGCACAAGAGAAACTCCTCTAAGTCTGCCAAAGAAAGGCTGAAAGAGCTAATCTTTCTGAGGCGACAGTGAACTATCTGAAGGGAGTGGGAATCTGGACAGGGTAACCCAGGGAAGGGAAATAAATGTGCAAAAGCGTGGAAGTGTTAAAATACAAGTCATGTTATGCTGAGTGTTGCTGGGTTGTAGGTTGTGTGAGGGGAAATGTCTGGAGCAGCAGTGGTGAACCTATTGGACCCATGTTGTGTTTTTCTTTTAAGACGGAAGATGTTAATGTGGAGTTTTTTCTAAAACTAAAACCCCTGTATTCAGGTTTAATTTGCAGTGTTGCCACTTTGTGATAAATAAGTGGGTTTTGGCACTCATTCTCTAAAAAGTTTGCCTTCACTAGTCTAGAGAGTAGGGTTTGTCAGGCCGAGAAGCTTAAATGTTACCCTTGAAATACTCCTATAAGAAGGTAGACACTGTCATTCTTTTTTTTCAGGTGAAGAAACTTTGTAGAGTAAGGGACAGGGCTGGTGTCAGTCCTTAGCTCTGGTTCCCTACCTGTGTGCTCCCCTGCAGGATGGGTAGCTATTAGCTGTATTAGGGTTAATGATAAGTTCGAGAAATGGTGTGATAGTGGAGGTCCCACAGGTGAAATGGGCAGAGAGGGACACAGGATTTGCTTTCTGCCTGTTGAGTCTTCTGTCGTCTGTCTTGAGCCTTAGATCCATCAGTTCCTCCAACTGGCCCAGCGGGGGTCAGAGGAAAAGGAGAGAGAGAAGGCTCTGATTAGTCTTCGTCGAGGCTTGCAGCACCTTGAGACACAGCAAACTTTCATCCGGTCAGTGCGGGTGGTGTGAGTGGTTGGCCAGAGCTCTGAAGGGACAGGAGTGGCTGGACCACAGGCTTATCAGAGCTCTGGTGTGTGATCATGTAGGCTGGAGGGCAGCATGCGGACCCTGGTTGGGCTCCTGACCTGCAACCGAGCCCTGTTGCAGCTTGAGGCGGCTCGGTGTCTTCATGAACTCTCTCATTCTGAGCAGTCTGTGGTGGCTGAAGCCTGCCTGCCAGCTACTTCTTATCTCCTCACCTACCTCTCCGGTCACAGTTCAGACTTCATAGTAAGCCCTGTCCCTACTACTTTGTTTTGGGCTTAAATTTTAAAATAATGCTTCTGGGTCTAGTTTGAACTGGCAGATAAGTGTGTGTGGGGGAGCATTGTCCACAGTAGTGGACACACTGTTCATCACTCTTGTGAGGTTTAAGGTGAGCCCAACCCAGTGCTATGGTTGCCCATTCTCAGGAGCTGTGTCTGTATACCCTGGGGAACTTGATTGTGGAGAGTGAGGCTGTGAGAAGGCAGCTCCTGCCGCAGGGCATTGTTCCAGCTTTGGCCTCCTGCATCCAGGTGAGTGCCTCCTTTCCCTGTCCCTGGGAAAGCCACCCTTTGCTCCTTCCTGTATGCCCTACTGGCTTTAAGGAGGTCACTCACACTTCCATTCCAAATGGCTGAAAGTCTCAAGTGGCCTTATAACCTAACTTCCAAAGTCAGATCGCTACCCTGTCTGCTTCTAGTCCCCCCACGTGGCTGTTCTGGAAGCTGTTGGATATACATTGTCTCAGCTTCTGCAGGCTAAGGAAGCTCCAGAGAAGATCATTCCGTAAGTAAAACTATATCTCTAGATATTCAGCTAAGGTTGAACCTCTTGATAGCACGGTGTGATCAGACCTGATTTCCAAGCTGTTGCACATTTTAACAGTTTTTATCTAGTTAGGAGGAGCTTTGGATTTAGTCACTTTCTCTTTGATAATAAGGGTTTGGGAAGAACCATCTCTATGGTTCCTACTCACAGCCATATTTCTCTTGACAGTTGTGTCCTGGATTCTACTCTGCTCCAACACATGCTACAGTTGATGCAACCAGGCCCAAAACTGAGCCCTGGGGTAACTGTGGAGTTTGCATGGTGTCTTCACTATATTATCTGCAGGTAACACCGCAGGTAACACAGGTCACTTGAGAAGATGCTAGAGATCTTTCCCTTAGATGTCATCTTGGGTGTTGAATGCCATTTTCTGGAATTGCTATAGTGTTTTTACTCCATGGTCTTTTTTGCCCAGGGAACCCACAGACTTAGGCAGTTTCTCAGCTTAAAGATGGGACTGACTGACATAGACTGCTTGCTTTCTGTTGCTCAGCCAGGTCAACAACACCTTACTTATTACCCATGGGGCTCTGTCTACTCTGGTTCTGCTGCTGTTGGACTTGGCTGAGGTTGTCCAGAGAATGGAGAATGCAGGACTGGAGCTGGTAGGTGGAAAGGACAGGTCAAAATCTGGGAGACATTTCTTCAGCCTCTGCCCTTCTAGTGTCCAGTAACACCTTCTTCCTCACACCTGATCCTGTTTGTCTTTGCAGCTTGCATGCCCTGTGATTCGGTGTCTAAGCAACCTGCTAGCAGAGGTGGCTGTAGAGGATGTGGGAGGTCAAATGCAGCTCAGAGATGAACGCATTGTGGCAGCCTTATTTATCCTACTTGAGTTCTTCCTTCAGAAACAGCCCAGCCTGCTTCCTGAGGGCCTCTGGCTCCTCAACAATCTCACTGGTATGTGCCACAATCTGTCCACACCTTTATTTTAACATCATCAAAATATTAAAACCAAAACAGGAGGGAATGAAGCTGTTAGGAAACTAAAATACAGGTTGGAAGGGGGAGGGGCTCTTCAGTATCTCAGGAGGGGCCCATGCAGTCTGGATTGAGGGAGGTCCTTAAGCCACCTCTCCTGAATCCTGTCAGTGAAAGCCTTCCTACTTACAATCTCCCACCTCACATCCATCTAGGTGGGCATCTGGAACCCTGAAGTGACTCCCTGGAGAGTCTTTCCCAATAAGTAAATTGCTCAGACCTGAGATCCTTCAGGGTGGAGCAAAAGGACAGCTCAGAGTGTAGGGAGGTACAGTATCGGCCCCACACCCTCCTACCCTTTGCTTGTTCCTCAGGCTTGCCAAAGAAGCCTTATTAATACTCCACTGAAGTGAAATATTTTAATAAATATTTTGATCAGAAAATCCTTTAAGGGGCTGGGGATTTAGCTCAGTGGTTCTGCCACTTGCCTGGCAAGCACAAGGTCCTGAGTTTGATCCCTGGTACCAAAAAAAAAAAAAAAAAAAAAAAAAAAAAAAAAAAAAAAAAAAAAAAAAAAAAAAAAAAAAAAAAAATCCTATAAGGATGAAAATGCACCTAGCCTTCTTGCCTGACCTAGTCAGTATTCAGGATTTTGGGGAAAGATGGCCACACCAAACTTGGGTCCATGGAGGAGGGACACTGAAAGTACAGTTAGCGACACCCACACATACACATGGATTAATGCATGTGTGACGCACCAAGGAATGTTGGTAGAACACATACATTGTTCTGCTGAATTTACCAGTATGCACATGCTCACATACTAGCCACCTCAGATACATGTATTTGTTTTATTTAGTAAATGTATATACCTTCCACAAACAGAATCTTTCCCTTTCTGGCTTGTTCAGTCTCCTGGTGGTAGCTACCCACCCCCCGAAGTTCTTGGAGACAGAAGTATAAGTAAAACTTCTCCATTGAGGCTGGAGGGCCGGGGATTTAGCCCAGTGGTTCCACCACCTGCCTTGCAAGTGCAAGGACCTGAGTTCGCTCCCTGGAACCAAAAGAATAAAAAAAAAAAAAAAAAATCCAACGGGGCTGGAGAATAGCCAGAACAGGGGGCTTCACGGCTGCCAACAGGGCAGGTATCTCAGGAGTCCAGTCCTCTCTAAACTTTGTCAGAAATCCAGGGAGGTCCAGTCCCAAGTCATAGTGAAAGAAGTCCCTGATACTCTTGCCTTCTTGGAGACCAAATGGTATTTAAGGGCTTCATGATGGGGATGGGGTTAAGAACTCAGAGACACATGCTGTAGGAGTTAGCATAAGCAGACAGGCATTCTGTCCATAGAGCTCTGTAGACCAACCATCTGGACAACAAGTGGTTTTTTCTTCAGACTGAGTAGGGCCTAGACCTAGTAGTAAGGGAATGCTTACTCATGACCTAGGCCTTGGTTGGTAGCATTGAGGGGAATAGTTTAGTCCCTAGTGTAAGGTACTTCATATTGACATTTTCCTCTCCAGCAAACAGTCCTACTTTGTGTACTTCCTTGCTCTCGCTGGACCTGATTGAACCCCTCTTGCAACTGTTGTCATTGTCTAACGTGGTGAGCGTACTGGTATGTATTGGGGTCATAAGTCTAAGATCTGCTTATTAAAGAGTAAACACGAAGTCCTTAGTTCTCAGTACTCTTTGTGGTGTATTATGACTTAAGAGCTACCAGTCTGTCAGTTCCTAGATTACTACTTTCCCTGTGCAAATCAACCAACCAGCCTCTTTACATGTAACTGGGGTAAAAGTACCTGAGTTAGCTATGGGGATTAAAGAATGTGCTTACAAGAGCTTGGTATGGTGTGTGGGCCTGAACTGCCTATCATCATCTTGTTTTCCTTCTTTGGAGGATTGTATACATGTCTCTGCAGGTGCTCACAGTTCTATGCAATGTGGCAGAGAAGGGTCCAGCTTACTGCCAGCAGCTGTGGCCAGGGCCCCTACTCCCCTGCTTGCTAAACACGATGGCCCTGTCAGATACTGAAGTAGTAAGCCAGAGTTTGGAGCTGCTGCAGCTGCTGTTCTTCTATCAGCCAGAGGTATGTTTCTGGCCCTGGCCTCGCATCTCCCCTTCTCAGAAGTCTCTAGAGTCACTATGGTCTCTTGTTACAGTCCCACCTATGGACATTTCTCCAAGCTGGACTAGCCCACATGGGCTGTATGTTCGAACCTTTATCATCTTGTTAGGAATGAACCCTTTTCCAAGAGCTCACCAAGAAGTAGGCTAATCCATAAGGCTAGGAGGATTGAGTCTTAGGGAACAGGGACCCAGGTGTTGAGTCTTTCTTTCCTGGCCCCAGGCTGCCCAGGCCTTCTTGCAGCAGTCTGGGCTGCAGGCCTTGGAAAAGCACCAGGAGGAAGTCCAGCTTCAGGATCGAGTGCGTGCTCTCCGACAGACAGCTCTTCGTTGCTGACTTGACTTCTCAATATCACACACTCAACCATCTCACCAGCGTCCTTGCTCATTTTCTTTCAGGAAGGTTAGGACCATTATGAAGTCTTACTTTCTGTTCCCATACCTTATTTAAGACTTTGGACTGTAGCTCCTTCTCTTACCACATTGTTCAAACAGGAGGACCAGAGGGGAACTGATATATAGTGTATTTGTTCTGGGGCCTTGGATTCCCCCCACCCATGTCAGCTGGTGGCTTTTGATGAAAACAATAAAAGTTTTATTTTTATATTAAACTGCTTTGCCCTGTGATTGTACAAGGAATAGAGGTTAAAACAAGGAAAAGAATACCCCAAAGCAGCATTTTACAGCACAGGCTTTATAAGAACACATTTTCTCATTGTACTGTCTAGCAGAGCCCAGATTTCTGGGGGTCTTGGTCATAATCCTTAGTGAAGGCTTCAAGCTTTGCCACTCAGTACGTTTTCCAGGGCTCTGGTTACCTGATCAGCACTGAAGTTGTTCAAAGAGACATTCTTCTCTTGGCCAAATGCTGAGGAGAGAAAGATTACAAAATATATACTCTGCACCATGGGATTATCAAGTGTCTTGGTTTTTTTGAGACAAGGTCTCTCTCTATAGTCAGGCTGGTCTTCAATTCACTATATAGCCTAGGCTGGTCTCATTCAAAGCAATTTCCCTTTGCCTCCTGAATGCTGGGGTTACAGGTAGGTATCACCATGCTCAGTTTGGGGCTACCAAATTATAATGTTAGGATGGGCAAGACATTAAAGAGATTAGATCAAGATGAATTTAGTGTGCCTAGAATTAATCCAATGAATTTTTTTCTTTTTGGTACCAGGGTTTGAACTCAGGACTTTGCAGCTCCTCTGAGCTATAGTCCCAGCCTTTAATCTAGTAAGTTTTAAAATACACCAAGGAAGCCTAGGTCGAAGAAGGATTTTGAGAAGAAAGATATTTCAGGGAGACTTTAATGGTCATAGTAAGACATTTTTCATTAACCACGGTAGGCGGTATATTATATACGCCTAGCTCTGGGTTAGGTTCCCACAGTACATCTGACATAATATGTGGCACAATGAAGTTACTTATGTGTCTCAGTCTACTGGCTTTAAGGGAGAGAACCTTTTCTTCAATTATTAACTCCAACATTAGTGTTTTGTGTATGTGTTGTGTATGACATACTACAGATGTCCAGTTAGACCCAACTTGCTTTAGGACTCCCACCCCCAGACACTCCTAGGGCAGAGTGTAGTGAAAAACAAATCTTACTGCATGTAACTACAACTATTGCATACCTTTGTGTTAGAAAGCATCAATGTTCAGATTGTGATAAACTGGAACATGATAAAGGGGCTGTGACAGTATTACATTCCTAGTCAGGGAATGCCTTTTGAAGTGAGATGTAGGCCAGGGATATAGTTCAGTAGTGCTGCACCTGCCTGGTAAACAGGTCCTGAGTTTGATCCCAAGTACCACACACACACAGAGTGAAGAGAGATGTAGTCAGACACAAATGACAATTTAGGAATAAGGAGTCAGCTAATGAAGTGCTAAGAAAGGGGACAAATGTAAAGGCTCAATCCTGTTATACACTAGCTGCATAGTTTTAACTATGTTTCATAATGTTTTGATTCAGTTTTTTAATCTTTAAAACAGGAAAAAACAATCCACCCCGATTAATCAAGATTAAATGAAATTTAGGCAGTAAATCAGCACATTATGTGCTCAACACAGATTCTCAGTACCTACATATGCACTGTAATTTGAAAGGACCTATGCAGACAGAAACTGAATGGCATTTTTTTTTTCTTACCTGGAGCCTTTTTTCTGGATATAAGTGTTTCGTGACGTAGACCAGCTGGCCTCGAACTCTGGCAATCCTACTTCAGCTTCCTGAATGCTGAGATTACAGGCGTGGGCCATCACACCTGCAGCCAATTCTAACCTACATAACTCCTGGACCCCACAAAAGTCCTGGCCAGAGCCTATACAGATGTTACCCGGGATACAAAGCATCACGCCCGCGAATGTTAAGTTTTCATCGGAAACGCGTGGCTTAAGTACGAGTCTCTCCACAGGTTTTTGTGCGACCTTGGACGGCTTTCTCCCACACCCGGAGCGCCCCGCACTCACCGTAGCGGGCCCACAGTTTGGGCTGAACATCGGAACATTCGCGGATTAGAATAGGAAGGTCAGGGTTCGCCTTCTTCAGCTCCACATAGCGTTTCTCGATGAAGTCCCTGCGGGGCCGGAGAGAGCGCTGCGCGTACAGTGGACGCGGGCTTCCCAAAACATCTGAAGGTCGAGGTCTTGACCTCGGTATCCCCCAACCCGCCCGCTTCACCCCGCCGCGCCTCACCTGACACCCTGGCTGCTGGGTGAGCGCTGGCATAAGTGGATTCGAATCTCACGGAGGCCCAATTTTGTCCCAACCGTTCTACCGGCAGCAGCCGCCGCCATCTCCACTTATTACTGAAATCCCAGGCCCAGACTTTCCGGCCAAATTCTTCAGCCGGACCAATAGTGAACTGGATGACCAGAGGGGCGGGATAAAGTTTAGCCAATGAAATGAAAACATTCTAGGGGGCTGTATTTCTTTGCGCGCTGGCTGGGACCAATGGGAGAGGGAGGAAGCAGAGGCTCGGAACGCAAAGCACTATGGTTGATTTTCGAGGCGCATTGTGGTAAAAAAGTCTCGCAGTGGTTTTGTTGTCAGAGGTTGGATACTCGCTGGTGTTGAGACTCCGACAAAATGCCGGAGCGAGATAGTAAGACTCGGCTCATTTCTTCTTTTTCATTCTCCTCGGGACTAGGGCGGTTTGGCGCTGTATTTTGACTACTAAATTTAACCGGTGTTGCGTAACGCTCACAGCCTGGCGAATCCTTCCGGCTCCGAGAGAGGCCAGACAGCTGTAGACCCTCCCCAAGCCACAGGACTACGGGCGACTCTGTCTTCACCTCCCGCCCCCAGCGCTTTCTTACTTAACTAGTGTGTTGCTCCTGTTCATTTCTTACCTTTTATTGTTTTTGAGACGTGGGTCTTTTGTTGCCCATCTAGCCTTGAACTCGCCATCCTGTTCACGCTCTAGTAGCTGAGATTGCAGACGTTTGCCACTGCGCCAGATCCTTCATACAGCATTTTAGATGTGATCTTAAGCAAAGTCTTTGCTAACCCTCTAGCTCAGTTTCAAGAAGCCCTTCTGTGCTGTCATAGCCCCTTGTTATGATTTTTTGTTTGTTTGTTTTTGCGCAAGGCCTCCCTGTGTAGTGCAGGGTGGCTTTGTATTCACTATGTAACCCAGGCTGGCCTCAAACTTACGGGGACTCTCCTGCCTCAGCCTCCCGAGTGCTGGGATTATAGTCGTACGCCACCATGACCGGCCATATTACATTGTATTGACACTGCATCTCTTTGGCTTGCTTTTATATTGTTCTCTGCTGTAATCCTCAGTTTTTCCAAAGGACCAGACACAAAGATTGATAATCTGAAGGGTAATTTTGTTTTTTTAGGTGAGCCGTTCTCCAATCCTTTGGCCCCAGATGGCCATGATGTGGATGATCCTCATTCCTTTCACCAGTGAGTATTTGCTTTAGGATTATGGAATTGAGATGAGCAATAAGTCAGGGGGGTGGTCTTGCTGGTGGTGAGAGAATTTTTAATATCTCGTTAATAAGAACGGTCAAGAGATCATACCACTTGGCTTGCTATTTCTGTGAACCTTAAGTGGATTAGGCCCCTTGCATAGGAGTATTAGAGGAGAAATTCTGACAAGGAAAGTGATTGTTCCTTAACTGTGAGAACAGCGTATTATATGAGAATTAATTCTTCCTGTACAAAATTAAAACATTGGGAAAAAAGGGTAAAATCTTTGATAACCTGCCCAATTCCAGTTCCTTTCTTGGAGGTAAACACAGTCCCCACCCCCTTTTTTTTTTTGGTACCAAGGATCAAACTCAGGACCTTGAGCTTGAGAGGCAGGCTGTGGAACCACTGAGCTAAATCCCCCAGCCCTCTTTTTTTAAATGTGTGTCTTTTTCTCCTACTCCTAACACATTTATATGCATACATACTTATCTGAGGAAAATATATCATTGTTTTACAAGTTAAAAATTTAAATGATGCTATACAATACATATCGTTTTGCAAATTTTTAAAATCCCATTCCGTGTCTTGGAATTTTTTTTCACGAAAGTGACTCCCTTATTGACCAAACTTGTCAGGTTCCAAGAATATATTTTTGACCAGGCTTTGTCCTTGGTTTACTAAGCCCATTTATAGCATAGAGTTAAGAACCCTCTCCAATACTTAGCCAAGTTCCTGTTAGTAATTTCCTTTAAATCCTCACTTGTTTCTGCTGGAGTTAAGCTCAGTTTGTCTCTCTTATTGCAATAGTATTGAATCCTGTTCTAGTCGTTTTCAATAAAGTGTTTCTTTGAGGGAAGAACTTGGTTAGATATCAAAGACAGGGGAAGGAAAGCTTGACTGGATATCAAAAATGGGGAAATTCTTGATAAATTAACAGAGTTCTTTTAAGACTAGGATCAACAGGCCAAGGAAGCGCTCTAGTCAAGAGGACTTAAAGGAGTCTGACTCTAGTTTATCAAGGAGTACTAGTGGGTGTGCTAATTAAAATTTTGCTTGTACCATCAATGTTATCTGTCCCACATATGGAATACACTATCACAGTTTGTTTAGTAAATCTCTGATTAAGGGACATTTAGGTTCTTACTACTTTTTATTATTTTCAGGGCTATAGTTGAACCTCTTTTACATGACAATTGGCTGAGCTAAATATAGATTAATGAAGTTCCTGATTCTTCATACGATATATACACTTAGGGCTGGGGATTTAGCTCAGTGGCACCCACCCCTCGCAAGTGCAAGGTCCTGAATTTGATCCCTTGTACCAAAAAAAAAAAAAAAAAAAAAAAAAAAAAAAATTTAGCTCAGTGGTGCGACTCCCTGCCTCATAAGCACAAGGACCTGAGTTTGATTCCCTGTACCAAAAACAAAAAAACAACAACAAAAAAACCCATACAATATATACACTTAAATTTTAACAGAGTGCCAAATTGTGTTCCAAATTAGTTACACTGATTTACTTTACTTTGTATTTTTTTGGTTTATTTTTTGGGGATAAGGAATCGAACTCAGGACCTTGCACTTGTGAGGCAGGCGCAGCACCACTGAGCTAAATCTTCATCCCTCTCTGGTTTCTAGTTAAGCATGATGTTTACATGTTCCTGTTTCATTTCCTGTTGGGTATTAATTTTAAAAATCTTTGCCTTCTCTTCTAGATCTAAACTCACCAATGAAGACTTCAGGAAACTTCTCATGACCCCAAGGGCTGCACCTACTTCTGCACCACCTTCTAAGTCACGTCATCATGAGTAAGTCCTCAGGTGACCCAGTCTCTCTTCTATCTCCTTTGCTTCTGTCTATCCTTTTGTACTGAACCAGAAAGTCTTAGGAGTTGAAAGTCTGGTTCTTTTTGAAGTCTCCCTGTGAAGATTGAAGCTCCAGTGATGACTGAGATGCCCTGTGTTCTCATTGTTTCTGAGGGTATATTCCTCTTGTACCAGAGTTGCTGGTGCGAATGAACAGTTTTGGCCTGTTCCATCCCCATGGACTCAGACTTTCTGGGATGGATATTTGGGACCATGTAGTTTTAATAGTCCCATAGATGTATATTAATGCTTTATAATGTTTGAGAACTGATATTGATGTTTATCTGTCTGATTGAAACTGTGGCTTTGGTCGGTATTCTAGGCTTTTTATTTATTATTATTATTTTTTTAAATCTTTATGGCCACTTCTTGGAGTTCTCCAGGTTGGGGCAATATTTTACTGTTAGTGATTTTTCTGTCCATTATAGGATGCCAAGAGAGTACAATGAGGATGAAGACCCTGCTGCACGAAGGAGGAAGAAGAAAAGGTGGAGAAAGGGTGAAGGGCTGTTGGGTTTTAAGACAATGTTTAAGGGAAGGGAGTAGAGGCTAAGATTTTCATTTGTTGTCTTGAGATTCTCTGCTTTCTTAATTAAGAGAGTGATACTTAAGAGTGGCAGTGTATGGTTTTGGAGTCAGCCTTAGTGTATTTTAGTATCATCTCTATCAGTTTTTAACTGGATAACCTTGAATATTTTGTTCAACCTTTCAATCCATGGGTAGAATATAGATAACAGACCAGGCATCGTGGCGCACACCTGTGATCCCAGCACTCTTTGGGAGGCAAAAAAAGAGCTGGGGATGTAGCCAATTGTGAGGCCTGGGGTTCAATCTCTAGTACCACCAAAAAAAAAAGGCGGGGGGGCGGAATCTAGAGAATAATAGACTTTTTTTTTTTTTTTTTGGTTTTTTGAGACAGGGTCTTACTATGTAGTTGAGTCTGACCTGAAACTCTCTATGTAGCCCAGGCTGGTCTCAAACTCCCAGTGATCCTCCTGCCTCAGCCTCCCAAGTGCTGGGATTACAGGTGTGCGCCACCACGACCGGCAATAGACTCTTGTTAGTGTTTGTGCATGCTTAGAATTGGTGCCTGGCTTATGATACCACCTATTAAATCCTGGCTGTTATCATCATCATTGTTATCACTTTTATATAATATTAAACTTTGTAGAGCTGCTACTTTGATTTTCTTGTCTTCTGAGGGTAGAATAATAAGAAATGAATTATTTTAGTTGAAATTTCAAAGGTAATAAAAATTCAGAGATGCCGGTGTGTGCCAGTAATCCCAGCAGTTGGGAAACTAGCAAGATGAGCATGAGTTCAAGGCCATTCTGGGCTACATAGTGAGTTCAAGGCTGGCCTGGATGACATAGTGAGACCCTGTGTCCAAAAAATATTTATGTTGAAGATTTTTTTTGATTGTGTATGGAAAAGTCCCTCGTTGCTATAGAGAATCAGTAGAATTAGGTGGCATTAAAGAGTGACAGCTGGAGTATCTCGGTGCCGCTGGAACAGTATCTGTGAGCTGGAAGAAATTGTAGTTTTTATATGAGGAATGTTAAGAAGTAGCCCCAGTTCTCTTAGGACATACATAGTTTTCACTTTGAGGGATGGATGAAAATACAGAGAAACAGGCAGAAATAATTCTTTTGATCATTACATAGCAGCTGTTGAGTCTTACATATTTGCTTTCTCTGATCACAGTTACTATGCCAAACTACGCCAACAAGAAATTGAGAGAGAGAGAGAACTAGCAGAGAAGTACCGGGACCGTGCGAAGGAACGGAGAGATGGTGTGAACAAAGATTATGAGGAAACTGAACTTATTAGCACCACGGCTAACTACAGGGCTGTGGGGCCCACTGCTGAAGCGTGAGTACCGAAGAAGCCAGTGCATCTTCCCTCAGCATCTTGGAACCAGACAATCCCAGTGTAAACTCTTCCTCCTACATGTTCTGCTTTGGAATTCACACTAAGGTATTTCAGGAAGCACTTGCTACTTACAAAGAACTGTTCTAGTGTGACTTTTTATCATTATACAGGGACAAATCAGCTGCAGAGAAGA